ATGGGGCCATCGAGCTGGTGAGCCTAACAAGGCCGTCATCTGCAGTTTGGCTCTTGCCCGTCTACGTAGCGACATCAAGGGTAACGAGATGGGCACCAACGCTGTTGGCATGGCTCAAAAGCTTCTGCTCTTCTGGCGTAAACCCGCCCGGCGATGCTGGTGGGAAGGTGTCGAGCTTGAGAATGTTGCAGGTGTCGAGGGCAAGCTCAAGGTCTGGATCCGAAGAGTATGGACCCTCGAGATGAGTGTTATTGGCCTGCGCTAGACCACGATCTACTTCTTTCCTCTACCTAGAGACCAAAGACCGTATAACCGTCACCTATTTCTTTTGTCTATCACACTTTGTGTAGCTTTGTTTCCTCCCCCAATCCCCCATGTTTTCTCTATTCCCCGTCCTATTAGGTCATCTTATTCCCCTATTCCATTTTTTCTTACTATTTCGTCTTCAAGATGAGTGTTGGTGGAGGTTGGTCCCATGCAACTGGGCAGAGCAAAAGCACATACGCGGAAGGAAGAGAAGGTTTTGGTCCATTGAGATTCGCAAAGGGCGGGCGTCAAGGTGCATGGAATCTGGGGGATCTTTGTAGACCTCCTATATTTTTTTCTTCTCATGTTTGACACACAGCACATGATTAATCCAACTACACTAAGACCATACGTTTCCCTGTGTGTCACATTTCAATGCATATGTGAGCAGTGTTTGCATTAACATAGACTTCCTGATCTTCCTGTCCACGGCAGTTTTGCAATCAAACAGGCCTTCCTCAAGACCGAGCCGTTCTAGTTTGTTAAATGGGTTCTCGAGTTTCTCGTAGCTACTGGAAAACCTGGACTCGACCAGTTTGCTCAAGGCATGGTGACGAACGCTTCAGGGGCAGAGCCATTTGAGCCGCGTGGAACTTCAGCAACGACTCGATAATGCAGTGAAGATAGACTTCGAAAGCAAAATGGAAAGAATACGCTTGCCTATTATTATCATCATCAGACTTTTGAGAATCGTAAGTTGGGTGCTGTGGTCTCACTTCAGGTTGGAATAAGGCCTTCGGAACGGGAAGACACTCTATCCTGGGTGTTTTCATCGACGTCTTGAAGATTGGAATTGAAATGACTCAAGACTAAGGTAATAATCACAAATAAAATCACTCCTAGCTACAAGGGCACTTTCCTTGCTTAAACTACAAATAGAACAGTTATGCTCGTCATCTCCTTTGTTTCATTATCTGGAGCAGGTAGGATTAAATATAGCACCAATGAACGGTGTAAATTACTAAACGCTTTTATAACGCTGGCGCTACACCTATCGAAAGTCCAAAAAATCTATGAATTGCCAAGTTGTTTCCAAAATAGTACATGAAGCGGAGGATACATCTAGTATCAGGCGTTGAAACCACCAGAGAATCAGTAAGGAGAGCTGAAGATGAGTTACAGTGGTCAAAAGGGCTCTTGAGCCCAATAAGATAATCAATCTGTGTGTGGTCGTTTGGCAAGCTGTACCATAGGTCCATCCCTGATAGCAACGAAGATATCTCGCAATTGGTACTGATCAACAGTACGGCGTCCTTCGATAGCGTCAGGACTACCACCTCCAAGATTGCTGCTGAAATCACGTCGGATCTCAAAGTGGTAAACAATCTTGGCCAAAGCCAGACTCATCTCAAGATACGCTAGATTCTTCCCGACACATCCTCGAGGACCTGCAGAGAAAGGCATAAAGGCACTCTCAGCTAGAGAGACACTCTCACGAGAAACACCATACTCATTCTTCTCGTCAACAATCCAACGCTCAGGACGAAACTCGAATGGTTCGGGATAGATACCAGGGTTGTGGTGCATGCAGTAGGATGCGGTGCTGACTTTCATGCCCTCTGGGATATACTCCCCATCAACGAGAATACCGCCTTCCTGGACCTCTCTGGAAAGATCAGATGGAACAGGGGGGCTCATACGCAGCGTCTCATCAATAACGGCTCGGAGATATTGACAGGAGTAAAGAGCTGGACCACCCTTGATTTCATCCGCGCTGGAGAAGGCAGACTTAACCTCCTCTGCAAGCTTTTGCTGAACATGAGGGTATCGGGAAAGGTAAAAGAAAGACGCAGCGAGACTTATGGCAGAGGTATCAGAGCCAGCAATTATAAGAGATTCACTCTCGCCAAAAAGCTCATCTTTGCTGTATCCTTTTCCAGTGTCGGGGTCCACGGCCTGGAAGAGATAGTGGAAGAAGTCTTTTCGACCATCGCCCTTTTCCCATGAGTCCCGCTTCTCGTTCTCGGCTTGGACTCTCTCAGTGAAGCATTGTTCGACGAATGCCTGCCACTTGCTCAAAGCTGGAGGTGCTGCTTCTGCAAGAAGATAGTCCAAACCTCGGGGCTTGAGCCACGCCCAGAGAGGAGCAAAAGGGGAGTAGGCAATCTAACATTCAGCATGAGCAAAAGTCTCCAACTGGGTATTTTGGCTCTTACTGGGTGGATGGTCGACATGAAATCAGTCATAAGTGTTGGAATATGTCGTAACTCGCTATCGTGCTCCTTCATACCAAACGATTTACCAAAACATAACTCGCCGAGGGTATCGAAGATGAGATGATCCGCCCATCGAGCCATGTTCATAGAGTGAGACCATTCATTCCCTCCAATCTCTTGGTTGAGTAGCTCAATCCATCGATCGACGTTGGAATGGATGAAAGGCTCGCAGGAGCGTAGTGCTTTGTCAGAAAAGGCATGGTTCATAACTCGCCTCTTTCGAGCATGCATAGTCTTGTCGATAGTGTTCCATGTTGTCATGGCGTGAACATTGCGTGGGTATGTCTTATAGTATTCGGCCTTTTTGACATTTGCCTTGTTGTTGAAAATGGTCTTGAGGCCTGTGGGAGTGTTGATCAAGACACTATTGGGAGTAATACGAAATGTTGGGCCTATAAGGATATTTGTTAAAATACAATGTTCTAATCACTTCTTCTGTTTATCTAATACTTACCGTATTTCTCTTGCAGCTGCCAGAACCATACATGTCGATCCTGTCTGAGAGTGTAGTAGTATGCAGGGACTGCTGAGATGCGTGCCCAAAAGGGGCCAGGATATTTGGCGAGGGGATGGAAGTATAATCTGTACAGTACAACAGCGGTTATATAGCCAAAGAATATAAAGATTATCCCCCAGATAATCTGCGAGGAAGAAAGAACGGTTACAGTGTTGATGATAGCCATGACTTGTGCTTGTCTGTTGAACAACAAAACGGAAAAGAACTTGCCAACAGGAGGTGGCCAGGCTATTAAAGAGATCAGTAAGTCCCAAGATATGACGACAACATATATTGTATTCTATCGTAAAATGACCTGTAGCATTCCCAGCTGCACTATGGGTGCATATGATCGATATTGTGCGTGGCCTGTGGAGTGTCATGACAGGTACGTGTTGACTATGTGGCTGGCTGCACATGCAGCCCTTGTCAATCAGAAATACCCCTTTCAGCCATTATGACTATCGTGACGTTCTGGCTGACTTCAGTGACTAATGGAGGGCGAGATGGGGGTGCGCGCATGGTTTAGAGTGATAAAGTCGGAATAGATGTTCTACTATGGATGTTTGACGTTGGAAATATTTGACATCTAAACCTTCTTCTCTTTCCATTCTTTTGATTTATGATTCAATCCTGACTATGCTAAAGCTCCAAGTGTGAACTTTGGTATATAATGGCTGCTTAATTGCTTTTTTCTTGCACATTACATATCTTGCTTATAAGTGAGGCGAGCCATACGCGACGTGGTCGTTGGTTGTTGCAACACCAAGCGATATGCACACTTTTAAGCGCCTCGAAACGACAAGGTGCATATCTTGGCATCTGATGTTGTTATGCAGAGTCCCCAAGCGTGTGAGATTGTCTGATCACTCATGTTGTCAAGCCGATACGAGATAGTTGTGCTTTTTCTAAGTGGATTTGTCTTATTAGATTCCACCACTATAAGGCTCCAACGGTATAAGGTAAGGCTCCAAAGTTTCAGTCAGATTGCAGCCTGAAAACTTCTTGTTTACGGTGAATTTTCCCATCAATAGTCTGATGTTTATAAAATACATCTGAAACCTCATCAAATTCTCTGGGATCTGATACGAAGGCCTTATCATGCCAGTGTTGCACAAGAATTGAGAAAATGATCTGTCTCCCAGCTTACTATCATAGCACAAAGCTAAGTGAACTTCTCTCAATAGGGGGCTTTGCCTTGAGGCTTTCCATTAGGCCAAGTCATAAAAAGCAATTTCTGGTTCAAGTGCAGTGGCAAATCGGTGAAGCAAACCGTCTCCTCAGAACAGGATAACAGATCAGGCATCAATACGTTTTGTATCTGAAGCACCCCTAAAATATTGAGTATACATGATACCAAACTGGGTAGTATTCATACTTAAAGTTTGGACGATGGAGAGGACATGGCGTTGTGTGGCACCGGTAGTACGACTGAGATAGACTTTGTTCCTGCATATTGGAGATTGGGCCTAACACGCAGACCTCGACGTGACAATGATGATCGAAACAAGAATGGTTTTGTGATAAGAGATTTAGTGATGTTTCAGCCTGAATCGTACAATATGTTAATTAAAAGAGGTCTGTGTCCATCTCGATTGAGATCAAATGACCAAGTTAGCTGTATTTCGATAGGTTAATTGGAGTGATGTCAGAGATGCTCAGTGATTTAGGTGGAATCACTGTTTCGATCTTGAAAGGCTCCCAGACCACTGTTGTTAAATACGAGCAATAGCAGCAGCCCGTATTCTCTTGACAGGAATTGTATTATATAGTTCGTTCTTGGCACAAATGGCCGACGTATTTCATAGGCGTACTCGTATATCGTTGCACAGCCTCAAATATTCATGTCGACTTCTTCAATCAAGCTTTTTAAGTTAAGAGCGATCTGGGGCAAACTGGAATGATCAACCGGAAGCATCACCCGTCTCCTGCCTTATTGGATGATTGAGAGCTGCACCTTCTTGGCTTCGGCATCAATGACACGGCAGGCAGGGCATGGCTGGACCCCGAGTACCTCTTACCCCGACTTTTTGTCATTCGTTTAATCCGATCTTTCCATGCCTTGCCTTGCCTTGCCTTTGCTCTCTTTTCCCACTCATCACAAACATTGTCATCTCTCTTTATGCTGTCATGATTCACGACTTTATGCTCATTCTTTGATACCCAAATTTCATACATACACATTTCCCATCCGTATCTGTTCTTTACTGCATCCACGAACCCTGATCTTTATACTCTCCGACGTCATTCCCCTCGCCGTTGAAGATGGCGTTCCTCCTCCGCATCGCCACCATTGCTCTAATCTCAACGCTCATCATCTCTTTCGCTTCAGCCCAACAATGCAGCTACAAAAAAATCAAGCCAAAGAAGTCTTCGCCTGTTACCGCTGCTAATTGGGAATATTCCGTCATTGCCAAAAAACTAAGACGACCTCGAAGCATATTGTTTGACAGTGAGGGTGCTCTCATTGTCATAGATTCTGGAAACGGTATACTCCACATGAAACTCGATGACGCTGGAGGGACATGTCTCCAAGTCTCAAAGACGACGACTTTGCTTAAAAAGGATAATGTGCGTTTACATCCACAGTCTTAAACTATCGACCACCAACTAATTTACAGCTAAACCATGGAATCGCCATTTCAAAGGATGGCCGCACCATATACGCCTCCTCATCAGAGAACGTCTTCGCATGGTCTTACGATCCTAAGAAAGTCACGCTGGATAAATCCTCAGAGCAGACACTAGTCAAGAACATGACCAGTTCAGGCCATAGATCACGAACTCTTCTCCTCTCACAGGATTATCCTGATATGCTCGTCGTTTCCAGAGGTAGCAACAAGAACGACGACGCAGGAACTGAAGTCCTTGCCTCTGGCCGCTCTCAACTTCGTGCCTTCAACATCTCATCTTTCAGTAACAGGTCCTCCAATCCGAAGACCTATGAATACCTTGATGGCAAGCTCCTCGGCTGGGGTTTGCGCAACTCGGTCGGCGTAGCAGAACACCCCGATACTGGTGGTTTATTCAGCGTCGAGAACTCTTACGGCAAACTAAAACGGGATGGCAAAGATATCCACAATGATAATCCGGGCGAGGAGATGAACTTCCACGGCTATCTGAATGGCTCTACGGCGAGCCGCGACAGCAATTATGGCTACCCATTTTGCTTAGCCCTGTGGTCCACAGACAACTTTCCTAAGCTTGGTGACCTCAAAATTGGCGAACAGTTTGCTGGTGATCGTGAGTCTGATCGTTCTCGTCGAACCGATCGGGAATGCGAAAGGGATTACATTGCTCCAGTGCTAGCTTTCCAAGCCCACACTGCGCCTTTGGATCTGAAGTTCAACAAAAACGGCACACGGGCCTATGTCGCTTTCCATGGAAGCTGTAAGTTATCATCCCCCTTTACCCCCTGAGCCACTTGGCTTACATACTCAGGGAACCGCAAACCCCCGGTTGGATATCAAGTTTCGTATACCGACTTCGAAAATGGACGACCTGTGGCCGCCGCTTCACAAAGCAGAAACGCCACCACACCCATCATTTTCAACAAAGACCTAAAAAAATGCCCTGATGACTGTTTCCGCCCTGTCGGTCTGGCGTGGGACTCAAAAGATCGGTTGTTCTTCACCTCTGACAAAACTGGTGAGATTTTCGTGCTAAATTACAATGACACTGCCCGGGGTGCCAATGACGATAATTCTGCCTTCACCTTACGTCCTGGTTCGGCTGCGTTGATCGTGGCACTAGCCGCAGTTATCATGGGAGGCTTCCTTGCTTGATAGTTCCAAGTGAACAATTAAGTTCTTGTGTTTCAAGAAGGCTTGAGCGTGCGTGCGGAGTGTTTGTGTTTCTGAGTTGGAATAACAGCTTTAGTTGTGGGCGCAGCTGTTTTGTATCGTCATAGCAATTCAATATTCGAGCATCGATAACATAACATTGTTAAAAATTCTCAGTTCTATTACTGAGCCAGAGTGGCTCTCTTGATCCATCACAATGACCGCCAGAAAAGTTATCGGGCCCAAGCCCGTGATATACGCAAGCCCATCTATAGCATTATTCGGCTACATTCGCGCTCATCACGTTGCGTCCCACATCAGGTTCAAGAGATCATAGCAAGATAATCACCCTTTTGTTTGCCTTGAACGCCTGGCTCTCCTATTTGTACTCATCGTTGCGTTGCGTGCTTTACTTTGCCGCCATCTATTCCTCAATTGTCTTGACGCACTCCCACTCGCCTCGGAGATTCTCCTTCCACAACGACACCTTATTGTCCTGACCGCTTACCGCCAGCACATTACCGCTGAGCGACCAGCTAACTCGCCACACAGCCGCCTCAAAGTTGAGAACCTTAGATTCCCACTGGGTAGGGTTTGAGGGGTCAGATGTCCAAATACGGACTGTCTTGTCCTGCGAAGCAGAAGCGATGTATGACTTTTGGAGGACAGTAGGGGACCAGGCAACATCACGAACCCAGTCGGTGTGACCAGTCAGGGGCTCACGCTCTTGCTTGTAGGTCTGAGAAGCAGCATCAAAAGCCCAGATCTTGAGGACGTTGTCGCTACCACCAGAAACGAATCGTCGGTTGCCGGTAGCACCAGGACCAGGAGCGCTGCTGACAATGCTTCCAGGAGTAGTAGCGGGAGCCCAGGAGACAGAGTTGACGCCGAGACCGTGGGCGGGGAAGATGGTGTGGTCGATGCTGTTGTCCTTGAACTCGAGAACGCTCACATTGCCGTCGGAGGAGGCGCAGGCTAGCAGGCAGCCAGCCTCATGGGGAGACCAGGAGACGACGTTGACCGAGGCCTTGTGTAGGTTGAAGTCGTAAATTCGCTGCCATGCGTTGTTTTGTCCGCCCTGCTCTTTCCAGATGAATACCTTGCCATCGTAACCAGCCGATGCGAGGATGTTGCCGTACTTGGGATGCGCCCAAGCAACACACCAGACGGCACCCTCATGTCTGTAAGTCCACCCTGTCAGCTTCCCCTCCTTAGAGATAGGGGCGATTCAAGCCTACCCCTTGAGAGTCTCGATCAATCGCTGGGTTTCGCCCTCAATCTCAAAGATCTTGATTGTCTTGTCGCCAGAGCAGGTAGCTAGCTTGCGCCCGTAGTAATCGAGGACAGCATCATGCTGATAGAAGCTGTCAGTTTGGTTCGAGATCGCGGGGAGAGACTTCAGGTCGAGCTTGGCTATGTATTACATAGCTTCAAATCGCATCAATCGGGAGTAGGAACGTACAATCATGTCCTCATGACCAGAGTTGGAGATAACTTGCGCCGACTAAAGGGGTGGGTTAGCTATAATAGAACAAGTTGGGTGTTGTTCGCTGAAGACAGGACAAGATGAAAGTGTCATGATGCATGCATTACTTACCATCTTGCTAGATTTCACACCAAAGTTACAGCGCAAAAGAAAACAAGAAAAAAGGATGGATTATAGAAGGTGGCTATCAGAGGACACGATACCGCCCATGACCTGGAGCTATCTGAGGTGGCCAGCGCCAGACCGTGGCGGTGGTGACAGTTGGCCAAGCTAGAGTCACGTGCATTTAGGCGTGACCTTGAAGTCCAACACCCCACTTGCCGCATTTGTCTCCGAACGGCGCAGTACGTACCGAGTTTAATGTTGCCTCGGCGCAGGCTTCCCCGGACGGGGGGCGGGAGAGCGGGCAATCACGAGCCATCGGGACTCGGTCATGGATTGGAACTTGGACTGGATTTCTGGGGAAAGCGGCTGTTGGATTATTCATCTTCAACCTCACATCTACCTTTCTTTTGTCTTTGTTCAAACTTCAACCGCCTACAATCAAGTTTCAACCAAACATTCGATAAGTACCTTACATACTATACGCGCCACTAGACCCATCACGTAGGCCGAGGCATACTACCTGCTCAGTGCTCTCTCAGCATCAGCATCTGCATCAACTCATATATCAATAACATACACATAACCATGGCGGACGCTTCATGCAGCGGAGGAACACCCTTCAAGCGTCTTATCGACCACCAGGCCCGAGATGTCAGCCATCATCAAGACAGACTCGTAGATCGCGCTGGCCCCCAAGGTCATTCTGTAAGTACTCACACATCCTATCAAAGACCTATAGGCTGAACGTCCTCAGTCTTTCAGATCTACACCACAACATATGCAAGGAGCAGATGGCTTTGGCGCGTTCATGGATGGTCCCTCAACCCTTCCAGGTATCCCTCAGCATCATGCAGCAGGAAGATTAGCAGCCCATGCTGCCGTCCTTGAACAGGGACACTCACCAGCCTTTCACGCTGCACAAGCACCACAGTTTCGTCAAGGGCATCATTCTCCTTCAGTCGATGCAAGTAATTGGGCGGCCGACTTCAACCGTTTCGCAAATCAGTCACAGCAACGTCAACCTCTTCAGAATGGCTTCGCTCAGCCTGCACCTCAGATGCATCAACCAGCTCCCCAGATGAACTTCCAAGCCGCGTTTGTGCAACCAAACGCTACTTTCCCTCCTATGTATGGCCAGGCTAACGGTGCTTTCATGAATGGCAATGCTGCGACGACTCAAGAGGCTGGGTTCGATGATGAAATGTCAAAGTGGATGGCTAACAACACCGGCGGTGGGATGGAAGAGGTCGACGCCATGATGGACCAGATGGCTCGTGAGCTGGAACTCAACGACGCAGCAATAGCCCATGCTGAAGCTCAAGAAGCCTCACAGCAGGAAACAACTGCTGAGCCGACATTGGCGGCGAACCCTACCAAGCTCGCGACACCAGATATTGCCAGCCTTTCCCTTGAGACAGAGGAGGCAGTGGTCACAGAACCTGTTGAGGCGGCAAAGACAAAGTCAGAAGTTGCAGATGCTGCAGAGCGTCTTCTTGAATCAGTTGAGCATGAGAACGGCGAGAAGTGGAAGAACTCCGTCTTCTTGTCGTTAATGCGAGATTTCCGAGATGGAAGGAAAGATATCATCGACAATGAGATTCGGGAAACCCCAGAGAATGAGGCAGGCGTTGTGAAAGACGCTCAGTGACGCCTGCAAGACCTTGACGAAATCAGACGCATAACCTCCGGAGTGCGTTTACAACATCACGATACTATCGAACATTCTCCAGCAAATTATAGTAGTCCGCATCAAGACGAGTTGACGTCACGGTGGGAAGTTGGATCGATGAACGACTCGCTGTGGGATGCAGCCTCGTTCCCCAGTTCTTGCGCCGCACATCTCAGTCGAACGACGTTCTAGGGTAATGGAACCATAACAGATCAAGCTGGACCTTTAAGGTCCATTGGAGTAGAAGGGGAACGCTTTGTCCAGGTATATAATGGCAAATCATGTACATCATCGTTAGAAAGTCAACCTTGGATATGAACCCGTTTGAATTAACAGGCGTTGACATTGACAATAATTATAAGTACAGCTGATAATCATATTTTCAGGCTACAAGAACAGCAGACTCATGTACCATATGACAGTGAACAAAACACACCTATAGCCAGAGCAATATACAATCACATATCAAAAAATTGAATCAATCAATAGGCATTTCTTTTCATAAGCGGTCAGTCGCTCCCATAACTCCAGATATTCCCTTCCTTTCATTTGTGACCCAAAATGCAATCCGTTACATAACCCTCGTTCCTTCTCCCATGATGCAGTCTTGAGTAATGACAGAAAAATCAGTGGCAGACACGACGGATATATAAGAATCGTGTCGTCCAGTAACGGCTCCCTAGTCTTGTATGCATAACGCCGTGATATCGAAGAAAGATGTGCAAGGTATAAAATGGCAGGGCTCGTCATGTCTAAGTAAGTGATCCCGTGCCAAATGAGGGCATTATAAATGAGATCAACTCTTTATAGTGACGTCCATGAGCAACCGCAATCGGTAAGTGACGGGTTTGTTCGTTTCAGCAACTGTCGAAGTGCTTTCTTGGTCTCAAGGTCTGAGCGCTTTGTGAAGGTAAGGTCCAGTTCATCAACATCTTCATTCTCCTCTTCAACAATGACCATTACAACCTTCTTGCCATCTTTGGTGACCGGCTGCGTCTCACTTCCGTCACCAATGATCTCGTATTGAGTGCAAGTCGCCACGGATTCTTCACCCCATAGAAATCGGCGCTCAACCATCTTGTAAACATGAGGGAATACAGGCAGGGGTTGTTTCCAAGAGTTCCAGTCGGCTGTGGATGAGCTAGAGTAGGTGCTGTATGTGGTAGTGGCATCTTCGTAAACAGTAGTTGTCGCAGGAGGTGGATGATAGGTCGAAGAATTTTCACTGGGGTAGATAAAGAACTCGATGACAGTGTCTGGCCATGTGCATATCCAAGGCTTTTCGCCCTTCTTGGCATTGACGGGGGCCTTGTTCTTGAATCGATGGAAAGAGTTGTAGTCTTCATATTCGTCGCTGCCGTCCCAACCTCGCTTGCTCAGAGCACCAAACTTCTTCTCGGAAACGATGACAGTCTTGTTGTACTTTGTCCTCAACCACCAAGCAGGACCGCGTGCAATTTCCAATGTGTCGTTGACTAATACCATACGTGTTGGCTGAGGAATGCTGGGAGGTTGAGCACCCCATGGAAATGGGGTGTCCTTATCACCAATAGCTTTGAGAGTCAAATTGTAGCAAGGTTTGGACTTGGAGCTTGTGTCACTATCGATTTGAATCGACCACATAGGGATGACAATGTCACAGGACCAGGCCGATGACTGTTGCGAGTCGTTGAAGCAGGCATTGCTATTCTGAGGGCTGGGGTCAATATTGGGAAGTGCAAAACGCCCTTTGGCCATTGGTGGTAAGTCAGTCGGTATAGTTGTAATGATCTCAGGGTCATATGTTGTCGTGGTTGGAGGTTGGTAAGAATATTTGCTGAACAGGAGTTAGCATGATAGTGAAAGTAAATGGAAAAACTTACTCGTTTGGATCAGGGGGTTCATCTGGGTTATTGTTATGGTTTTTCGTGAGCATAGTTCCAATAACGGCACCCATGATGATGCCCATGAGCATCAAGCCAACAAGCAGGAGGCAAATAGCCCAGTAAGGTACAATTCCCCAGAGCTTCTTCTTTGCCCGACGTTGCCATTTGTTGACAGCAGGTTTCTCGGACGTTTCGGCGGCGGCGGTGTTGATGTCGTGATGGCTGGCCTCAGAGGCATGGCTTCTGACTGAAGGCCGGGTCCTCGGCAAAGCTAGGTCATCATCCGTTGATGAGAATTCAGGATCGCGAGTTGCCATACCGATTCCACCAGCTCCTGGGATTTCCCTGGTGGGGGATGAGGGTTCCGACACGGGCGATACTGGCGATACTGGTGTTTGTGTTGCAGGTTTAGGCACATACGCGTTATCCGGATATCTGGTGTAGGGCGGCAGTTCCTCCATATGGCCCAATGGGCCGACCAAATCACCTGCCTCTTCTCCATCCGGTCCTAGTTGTCGCTGATAAGTTCCTCCCAAGCCGTTGAATCCCACTGGAATCGAGGGTGTGCTGCTCTCGCCGGAGGTGGTGTTCTGTGTGTAAAGAGCATATGGATGAGTTGGAGCTTGAGTGCCTCCGTAAGACCGATCTTCTGGTATGGCTGCGTTGGCGGCGGTAGATGTAGTAGCCACACTCATTGTTCGCTGAGGATACATCTGGTACGGATGAGAGGGACCAGAGGGCCCTGTATATGGACTTTCGGCGCGAATGACCGGAGAATCTGACGATAGACTGTGGTTGTTGCGTATATGAGATCGGTCAGCAGTTGATGTACCGTCGTTTCGAAGAGCAAGAGAATCATGATTTCGGTGAGGCTTGGAGATGCTAGAAGGTCGATTGCGGATAGCAGGTGCGATTTCGTCTGATCCACCAGAGACAAGCGGTGCCTGTGATGACTTTGTGGATGCCGATTGTTGCGAAAAGGATTCAGTCGATGATAATGACGATTCGGGTTGGGTATTCGAGTTTGAAGTCGGGTTCATGGAAGAAGAAGAGGTGGCATTATCGGACGGTCGGAAGCCATCCGCCACCATCATAGCACTGAGATCGTAGTCATCATCGGCACCACTACCAGTGGACAGCCTCAAGGAACGCGAGCGTCGGGTCGATGAGCGACGCGAGTTGCTAGAGTCCTTCCCGTTGTTGGGATCCATGGCGTGGTGAAAAGGGAGGCCAGGGCTTCAAGCCAAAGACGCCGACAAGGGCGTGCCCTACAAGTCGCTGAATTTCGAGAGTTGAAGTCGACGTTGAGATCCAAAGGGGCGATGAACGGTCGGGATTCGAAGGGGAGCGGTCGGCAAACCAATGGCGAAGGGAGTCGTTTTCGGGAGATAAAGTCAGATAAGGAGACAGTTTGTAGCGAGCGAATATTGAGTTCGAGACGGGAATTTCGATGACTCGAGTCAGGTCGATAACCGGATGAGCGAGAGTGATTGACAGATTCGATTGACTGATTGATTGATTGATGATGATTTGTTTAGGCGTGGTTGGAATGGGATGGATGGATCGATGGGGATTGACAGGATGGACAGAACTGCAAAAAGCCAAGAAAGAGAAAGCGGGTTTCGAAGAGGAGCGAGGGAGCGACTGAGTGGCTACACAGAAGGAGGGAGACTGGGAGAACAGACCAACAGGAGACAAGCAGGTGCCATACCAAGAGAGGGTCCCGACTTCCAGCGGGCTTTAGTGGGCCCAATGCCCCATCCTAAGCCAGTCAGAGCTGGTCTGGAAAGGGGAAGACCTCCAGGAGTCGGGACTAGGCTCAAGATGGTCTAGAACTGCCTGAGCTAGCAATTCAACGAAGGTTTTTTGTTTTCCTTGAACCTGCGTTGAGTTAACTACCAGAAGAGTTCAGGGCGCGAGAAAGCTTAATAAAGGCCTAACTCAAGAGACAAAGAGAGGCATGCACGAGGAGAATACGGTTGTGCGACACTCAACACATTCTTAATCCTATTAAACAGTCAAGATCTGCAATAGATTAACTCTCTTATCTGCAATTGAACCCTCCGTGTTCCCCAATGTGTCCCCCCATCCTCAGAGGAAAAACCACAGTTCCCCCTGGGTTGGCAGTGCAAGTGCCTGGTCAGGTTTGGAACGGCGGACCAGGGGGGCGAGTGAGCGCCCTGGATCATGCGATTGGTGGGCCGAGGACCCCGTTTGGAGCAACAGCCAGTGAAGCAGCTTGGAGCGGTTTCAGCAAGCAGCATTGGGCTTGTCCTGGGCTGGGTCTTTGTGGATGGATCACTAATGGAGAGGTTTCATTCCTGCGTCATTGGTCATCGGAACTTGGTACTCGCAAGACTCTATTTTTGAAGGTTTCTGTACGGATATGGATATGCATAGCTGGGTGTTGATATTGATGTTTACGTGGTGGATCCTCGTATTTACAGTCACCCATTCCCTAAACACATCATGATGCAGATTATACCATAGTATGGATATAACTAGTCTTCACTATTGTCTTCATCATTGGAAGACTCTGCTACAATTGTCTTGCAGTCATGTCATGGATACTGTCGCCATCGGCTCTCCTGCCGCTTGGCAACCAAACCTGACTAGGGGTTGCGCAGCATCGGTAGCACACTCCGAGGCATTGGCCTTCCATTATCGGTTCCAGTTGGTTTTCACGCGCCAAGATCCTTGTGGGAATGGCACTTTTTGTTTACAGTCAAGTTCAAACTACCGTGATGAGTTCAGGGTCTACCATGAACAATTAAAGATACTGCGTGGGTAATCTGATCTTCGTCTAGATGGAGATCATATGAACTGATTCCCATGCTCTGTTTCACTGCATGTCTTGTCAGAACTCAAGTTCAGGCGCTTCCTTACTTCCATCACATTCCTCACATCGCACTGCACCAAATGGGCGATCCCGGCCGAACCGGCAGCGATTTTCTCTCCTGATTCCCACTGGGGTCTCAGTGTCTGTCATTCCCGGTCTCCGCTGATCTCACCGAGATGATCTAAATATTTGCTCACTCAAGCGAAAACTCCATCTTCATAATAGATCCACATAATATCCAAGTTTTTTCCAAGTCGTCTTCTAGAATGTCATTTGTTGATTTGCACAGAATGAGGGCTTTGTCGCTGTTAATTTCCCCGTTTGTTCTGAATAGCATCCAACGGTCGGCTAGTCGGCTCTCTCTCCCTGTATCCCTGATGGCTTGCACGTGGGCTATCCCTCATCTCACTTGTGTTGATCAGTGAACTTGGCTGTTTCTCAGGTTCATGTATGCTTCGGAAATGTGCAACACGACTCGGAGCATGCTCAACGGTGCACTTTCTCTCAGAGCATCCAACCAGAGTCTTCATCTCGAGTCTCTCAAGATGCAGACAAAGTTGGACGATTTCGATGTATGCGTTGTCACTGAGAAGATGGTGTCAGACAGATGGTTCTCATTGATCTTTGCACAGGCAGGTGAGATCTCTCTCTTATATCTGCCACACCGGTTGAAAATGAAGCGTTGAAAATGCTCGCCTTGTTTTTTCTAACCCACTCTCATGTCATGTCTGGGGTACAGTAGTTTCCAACTGCCGACTAATGAATGAACCGAGCCAACCATGATATCAAACCCGACTCTCGGGTTGCTTGATGTCTTAACCACATGTTCAACATGAATATCATTAGACAACGAGTTGAGCACTCGCATTGTCCACAGATCACACGGTTGACAAGATGAATCCTTCAAAATGGTGATCTGTGTGAAATGATGATTGTACTAGGTATACTAGATTGTCAGACCTTGCATACTATGCTACCAGAGTATCAAGTACACAATATCTGTTATCATACCATCAACTACATGTTACCCTACAATCAAATGTTCACATCTGTCAACCTATAAAGTCCTAGAATAGTCTATCAATGAAGCTCAAAAAGGCATGTACAGTATGCAACTCTCGACCCTTCATCCCTGGATCGTCAGCCTTATAATTCATGTTTCGTTTCGTTTCTGCACTTCCACATGCCTCTTCACTCCAAACAGCAATTCTACCCTTTCTAAAGGCGGCTATCTTCAACCCCGTCACATTTTTGCTCACCTCGCAACTGCATAAAACCTCTTCCAACCCCATCATGTCACAACACAACCCCCCTCTCTCACGCATAACCAACCAGTTAACCCTGTTACGGCGGTAGCTTGCATGCTCCAGCAGCCAATCGTTGCGGCTCAACATCACCGCTTGAAAACGTACCGCGTAGAGCAGACCACCGCACTGCAGCCTCGTTTAACTTGTTTCGCTCCAGATAAGAGGCAGTGAGAAAAGAAAAAGGCAGCCACAGCGAAATGCATGCCGCTGCATGACGTCTAGGCGTCAGTTATCCACTATCCTCGAGCGTTCGCATGGCTCCGCAGCCTGTTGTGTTTAGTTAAAGTGTCCTGATTTTATGATAGTCGTTCGTGGATTATGCTGTCGAACGGATCTTGTGTCAGCCAAGTTTCAAAGAACTTGGACTCTCGGCCAATTCAGTTCCATGGGCTGTGTCTGTTCGTGTTCCGTAGCCAATTAAATTAATCAACCCGAGCTGTCAATCACATAGTTCAACTCAATATCTCATTATCTAGTTAAGACTAATTAGTCCAACCTGACAACTACTGGCGAACCACCACAGCGTGCAGTGTTCGCTTCACATTAAACTACTCGTCCACGAGATTTGCATCTCTTACACCCTCATCTCCGTCCTAGATCATCTATCACCTTACCCCTCTCCAAAGCAGGGCGAACGTGGCGCACGATCGCCCAGCTTGCACAGCGTCCATGACCCCTTGGCTGCTCGCCCGAGAGCCTCAAGGAACGTCTGTTCCCTCCCGCCGTCAGCCAAAATTCACTGGCGAGCCGTCACTTGCAGCGTACCGGTGCCGTTCCGTACTGCACATCACCTGGAGCGTCGTATCGTGTGAGCCTGATTGCACAGAAGACGCTGCACGACGGACGGTCTTCACACCCACTCACTTGCTGACTCCAACTCCCCCTGTCGTTCTTTGCTTCTGCCGCTACCACAGCCTGTCCTGTTGTGCAATGTGCAACAACCATAGGAGACAATAGCCTCTTTTCTCGTCGCCCGCAGAATATGAGATGCCTTGACGAGGCAGCCGATCCTGACGATTGCGTTTGTGCAATGATAAATTCCAAGTACGTAGACGTTGTGTAGACCTCGCCTAGTCCGTGTGTTTAGTTCCCATTTATATCATGCTCCCATGTCCGTCTCTCGTTTGCCTCGTCCTTTCTTCTTTAGCTCTTCTTGTCGATCTCTTCTCTCTTGAACAAGGAACCACTTCTTTCTATTGTCTTTCTACCACGCTTGGCAAGCATCACCTTGCCTTCAGCACAACACCAGCCTCAGCTCACTGCTTTGGTTCGTGAACTGCACACCATCAACACATTCTAACTTCACAAATTCATTGCCACCCGCCTCATTCTCCAAGTAATCACCATCTCTAATAATCCACCATGTCACGTTCATCCGTCTACTCAGATGACAGTCGTTCATCAGCATGGACAACTACTTATACCCGGATACCTAAGAAACAGCCCAAGGCTCTCCGATTTCTCTCATGGGTAGCTGGAGCACCACCTGGAGCTACAGCTGTCAAGAAGAGAACAAGAGACTACCGTGATGACCGTTCAGTCAGTTCCGGTGGCTCGACGTTCTCTAACTGGGATCAGTCCGACACACAACTCTACTGGGTTGTTCATCCCAATAGCTACTACTACAGCGGTAGTAGCAGAGGTAGCACCAGCAGTGGACATGGTAAGCGAAGCGGACGGAGTCACAAGAGCGGAGGTGGCTCCCGTAAGCACTTTGACGGAGCCGTTCCCCGGCCGCCAGTGGTTCAGCCGATGAACATGAACGGCGGCCCCCCACCCCAACATCCACCTCCGCCTCCGATGGCCCCACCCATGGATGGAGGCTACGACGGAGGTCCAGGTTATGATGCCGGTTACGGCGATGGTATCTATGATGAAGGCTACGATCCCAATTTCGGTGGTGGTCCTCCTCCTGCCCCGATGATGGGCGGGTATGGTGGTCCTCCTCCTCCTCATATGCCTCCACCACCTCCCATGCATCCCCAAATGCCCGGTGGAATGCCCGGTGGAGCTCCCTTTATCGACTTGACTGGCCAGAACCACCGAGGAGGTCCCCCTTCAGAATCAGACGGTTGGAGTTCTGATGGGGATTGATGTCTTGAGACTGGATTGACGAGCAAAACCTATTGAGTAGTGTTGTGCTTTCTGTTCACGTTGACGATTGTATTTTGGATATGTATAGCTAACAACTTGGGATGGTGAACATGGCGTTATGGGAACTCAGTTATGAGACAACACAACTGAAGGGTGATGAATGAATTCATGATTGCTTACATGGATCAATTTGACGAATGTCGCTTGCCGTTCTTTGTTTCTTCTTGGCATGGCCATCAGCGTATTAGCCGCTTGCACTTCAATTCGCAGGTTTTTGGTGCAATATTACATATATAGGATTTGATAATGTGAGTTGCAGCTCTGTCCATCTTTTGTTCTATTGTCATACGCCTTTAAAAAGAATGTTATGTAATAGCCATTGATTGCTTCAACTTACTTGAACTACGTCACCAAGAAATTCTTTCATCTATCGTAGCACAACTCTAGAACCCAAGCCATCGAACTATATAACAAGGAACGAAACCAGAATTGTTAATATCTATTTTGATATTAGAGAGCCTAGACCATTCGATGATTGCTACCGGGTAACTAACAGACAAAATGACGTCGGGATAAGTCTCTACCATTCACATGCCTCTGATGGTTCAAGAAGTGTCGTGTGCTCCCTCTCACATGTACGATACGTAATATCTGCAGTATCAAAAAAAAGCCTTGGTGTTTGCCCATTTCATTCTCTAGGTCCCCCACCCGCCTTCGGCTTTGAGCGATGCACCAAAGCCTGCAATGCATCAAATGTTCCTAACCCCCATGTCAACAAGGCCTTTTGACCTTACGCATCAACCAATCATAATCATCAACCGGCGTTCGCTTGCCGGGAAATGGTTGAAACACAGCCTCCTGGTGGAACAAATACGGTCTAGTGCCCGATTGGATCTCGGCGCCGCTGTGACTCTTCCCGGTGATGCTCCGCCGGGAGGCTTGGGCTAAGAGTGCGGTGTAAGTCAACAATATAGAGACACAAGGGGGAAAAAGGTCTGGATTGAATATGACGACAGTGGTCTTGAGGCACGAAAGAAACACCCTAATTTGATATCCCTGTTTTTACAAGTTGGACGAGCTGTATAATGCGTTGGAAAATGCAGTCATCCTATAAGTGTCGTACTGTATGCAGCTTGAACCAATCCAATGTCATGTTCCGTTTTGCTCACAGAAAAGAGGCAGCCGAGCCAGGAGGGTCATCAGGTCAGCCTCAAATTGCCTTACCAAAGATCTTTGAAGTCAAGAAAGATTATAGGTGTTTGTGGTTAACGGTGGGATGGATCCATAAAGCTTTCTTGAACTTTATGAGTACTATCGTCTGAAGCCTCCAATGACAGCATAACATATTGAGACGCTTTATGTAAATTTATTGCACCAGCCATTAAAGAATACAATTCAAAGTCTGATTGGTACGGTTTCCCCTGTGTCAAAGATCCTAAAAGTTTCATGGAGCAAAAGACGGATCTGCTGCCTAACGATGATGCTGTGATGCCTAGTTTTCACGCGACAATCATTATCTTGTCTAATAGGAACCGCCAATCTCTACCCCACACGAAAAACCACTTTTCCACTTGTGTCACGGCGTGGAGAATTTATCCTAGTTGGTTTACGCGGGCTGTGACTCAAGTGGCTCAATTCATGAGCTGTAAGGCTGATGGCGCGCCCTTACGCCTCTGATGAGGTGGGTGTGGATGCCTCTTTCTCTAGTACACACCAGTATCACGTTTCGTGCATGCAAACTTGACGCTTATAAAACCTTTCGTCGCCTCTCTCACTTGGATTGTTACTCTTACACAACCCATCTCCATCATCTCTAGCTATATTCATCACAGGCCTCAACTATCCTTCTTTGCAAGGGGAGACCTCCATTCTCAGCAACAAAAAGACTTGGGTGACTTTAGGATAAGCTTAGGAAGGCCTTTTACTAGGTATTCCCGACATCCCATTCAAGGTCCGAAGCTTTGCTGCTCTCCGTGGGCTTGTCATACGCTCTTCACAGCATTCTTTGACCACCTCTAGCATGATAGGACCTTTTGCGTTCCTTCAGACCATCTCCCACGCCCAAAGTATGGAGACCCTCAACACAACTGGCGAGGCCGCTGGTCTCCCAAATGCTCCTCCTTCACAATTTGCCATCTTGGACTTCCTATTTCCTGGCTTTTCAACCTTCTCCAGTATCGTACATGCCTACCTCGGTATCGACCTCAACCTCTACATCCCTCTTCTCTTGGTTATCTCCGGTATCATGTTCGCATGGAACTATATCACTGAGTATTCGTGGAGCATCATCGGCCAACATCTTATGTCTGCTGTACGTATCCGCACCGATGATGAGATCTACAACATAGTCATGGCCTGGGTGGCAAACCAACGATTTGCCCAAGGTTCTCGACGTTTCATGGTCAACACAAACATCAACTCCAGGAGCTGGTTCTTGTTCCGATGGGATGACGATGAGAACGAAGAGGAAGACTCTGGCTCAACTAAGAAGCCCCTCCAGTACACTCCTTCGGTCGGCTCTCACTTCTTCTGGTACAAGGGCCACGTCCTTCTCTTTGAGCGCCACGAGAATAGGGAGCGCTCCAGCTTCCTTACCTCGAGTGAGCGAGAGGAGCTGTCCATCTCTTGCTTCGGCCGCAACCCTCGTATCATCAAGGAGCTCCTTGTCGACGCTCGCGAGCAGTACCTGAAGAAAGACGAGAAGAAGACCATCATTTACCGTGGTTCCCTTGGTCAAAATGGTGGCGATCCTACATGGCAACGATGTATGAGCCGAGCCAGTCGTCCGATTTCCACAGTCATCCTCAACGAAAAGGTTAAGCAAGACGTGATTGCAGATGTGACCGACTACCTGGACCCCAACACCCGCCGCTGGTACTCCAACCGCGGTATACCTTACCGCCGTGGTTACCTTCTTTACGGCCCCCCTGGAACCGGAAAGAGTTCGCTTAGTCTTGCATTGGCTGGTTTCTTCCGCATGCGAATCTACATGGTCAGTCTTAGCTCTACTATGGCCAGCGAGGAGAACCTTGCAACGCTCTTTGCCGAGCTCCCTCGCCGTTGTGTGGTACTTCTAGAGGATATTGACACCGCCGGTCTCACTCACACTCGTGAAGATACAAAGGGTGAAAACACGGAGGAGGCTGTTATGCCCGTTACCACCGCACCCGCTAAGCCTGGCCTTCCCCCTACTACAGCACCTGCGCTCCCAGGTCGGCTTTCACTATCCGGTCTACTCAATATACTCGATGGTGTTGCTTCTCAAGAAGGACGCGTCCTTATCATGACTACCAATCATCTCGAGAAGCTGGACAAAGCCCTCATTCGTCCTGGCCGTGTCGACATGATTGTTGAATTCGGCCGCGCCGACGCTGATATGAGTGCCTCTATCTTCCGTGCCATCTACGCCCCTTACGAGGGAGAGGGCGCGCCTGGAAAGGATGTGGAAATCCTGGAACCCGAAGAGGCTCAGAAGCAGGCTGCATTGGCTGAGAAGACCCGCAAGGAGACAATGGAGCGAGTTAACGCCCTTGCCGATAAGTTCGCTACCAAGATGCCCGAGCTCGAATTCAGCCCTGCCGAAATCCAAGGATTGCTTCTCAAGCACAAGCGCAACCCTGAGGCCGCCATTGACGCTGTCGATGACTGGGTGGTTGAAACCCGCAAGGAAAAGAAGCAAAAGGAAATCGAAGATGCAGAGAAGCGACGTAAGGAGGAACAGAATGCCCGTAAGGCGGAAGCAAAGAAGAAGCGCAAGGAGGAACGGGCGAAGGCCAAGAAGGCTAAAGCTAAGGCCAAGCGAAAGAGCAACGGCGAGAGCTCTGGGTCCGACTCTTCTGATTCTGATACCGAATCCGAGACAGAGAACCGCACCAACGAGAAGAAGGATGAAAAGAAGGACGACAAGAAGGCCACGGATAAGTCTGAAGACAAGCCCAAGGAAGCTGATGAAACGAAGACACTGGAGGTTCCGGATGAGGACGCAAACAAGTCCAAGGGAACTTCTGATTCCGGATACGATACCCCCAACACAGCTTCGTGATCATATACATGATTGGGAGAGTCTGATAGAGAATGCATACAGCGGCGTTGGATTGGAGTTTCTGCATCTGTCAACTTAAGAGATTGATCATCTTTAATAGCCTCAGCGTTGTCTAAAATACACTTAATACTCATAGCTCTGTTCGTCAAGCCTTTGCCGTTCAGTGAGTCGCGTATCACAAAGTTTGCACAATGATAGTCCATCGTATGAGTAAGCTATGCAACTTTCATCAAGTCTTTGCCAACGACTTTGTGCAGAGAGTTCCGTGCACTTCAACGTGTCTCCGTTCAACGTGTCTCCGTTATCGCCTTCATGTTAACGAAACATCAGCTGAGCGAACACGAGAGCGACAGGCATTCCCACCCCCAGCAAAAGATGCATGAGATTCGAGATCGATGCCGTTGAACCGATACGTCATGCCAGGGGCAGGATCTGGGGTCGGTTAGATCCTAACGGGGTTGCTTGGACCAAGAGATAAGGAGTAGTGTGCACAGGAATTGATTGAGAGAATATGAGGGCTGGCTAGGCATTGGAACCAAGAGTAACCGAACAATACGAACCATGTTGAAGAGTCGAATTCGCAAAAGGATCCGAGTGTCTCAAGATGCCACTAACAACGTGCCGTCGAGAGGGTCCTACCTTCACCCATGCAGGTCCCTGAGATGATGCACAAAAGGGATGCGGCTTACAAGGCTCTGAAGCTAAGTAGCTTTGAGTAAGATCGACCCGAATAAGAGAGCGCAATCCGAAGACGGTTGCACATTGACTCTTATCATTCTTCAGCTTCTCATGGATTCCTTTGAAACATCATAACGCATATGTTGAAAATCCTTCCGTGATGCGTAAGAGGGCGATAGTTTTGCCATCCCCGCGGCCCGTGTGTAAAAGGTACGTAGACGCTGGATGGATACCATCCAGGTTCCACGACGACCCCATCCGAAATTCTTGAGCGATAATCAATCAGGCCTGATGGTAGTGCCTGAGATGCAGGAATCTGCACGTTGATTATCTTAGGCCGAATAGCGGCGGACTTGGACACAAAAGTGTGTCAAAGTCTTGGAGGCTAGCTATATCAGACTTAGGACGGCGGTTTTGACCCACGCCGAAGAACGGAATGCGGCGGATCTTATGCTGAGCGATTGATAATGAAGTACGAGTTGACGTCGTCACAAGCCAGGGATTGCATGAAGAACAAAGTTGCACATGAGGGACAAACCGGAACATGACGCTAAAGACGGGGCACTGCGTGGGACGCATGTCGATAAATTTCTCATGGCCATAAAAGTAGTACTCTCCGAGGACGCTGTAGATGTCAGCTAGTTGTTGGCGAGAGCCCTGATCAAAGCCGAGAGGTCTCAAGGAAATCAAGAGCTTGCTATCAGATGGTACTGGAAGTCAAGGGGTGGTAGAATCAGTTTGAAGCAGGTTATCGAAATCACATCATGGCCGCGCCGCCTCAGTTAGGGCATCCTGCGTGGAGGAGTAGAACTAAGGTAGTCATGGCTGGGGTATACTTGCAAGAAGAAAACACTAAGCCATCCATCCACGCAATGGAGAACGCAAACGGCAGATGGACCCGAAGAACATGAGCAATGGGAGAGTGGGACACATTGAGTGATTCCAGCGATCGTTGGAAGTCAGGCCCATGTAGCTGTGCAGGGTCCAATGATATGGATAGTATTAGTGCTGACATTGTTGGCTCATAAGAATACGATGATATGCAAGACATGATAGACATGGAGAGTCTTGATAATGTTGTATTGTATAAATCGAATGCATGGGTGAAGTTGAAGAATATCGAAGCTGTTGATGGGATGAAATGGAACCGTCCAAAAGGGGTAAGCGTGGTGGTGCGGGATTAGGAGCGATGATACGCTGTTGTCCCCTGCTAATTAGCGGGTAGTCCCTGGAAAAAGACGGGTTCTAGGCCACAGCCTCCCGTTTGTCTTTGGTGGAGTTGTAGGTTCACGGCAAGTCAAGAGTGAGCACCTCATCACAGGCTGGATAAGTAATTCCATTGGATCTGATAAAAAACCGGTTTCCTACTGTTATAGAACATGTCCGAAGTCTTACTGAAAAAGGGTGTAAGCACTGTCACGATAGAGTCCTAACAAAGAATTTTCGGAAAGTTACTCTAAAGGGTAGGTAGGTAGGTAGTGCAGATCGGCTACTGAACTGAGTAGGGTTCCTCGAAACATTGTTTAAACGCCAACAAGCGAAGAGGCCTACTGTAACTGTACCACAGACCACACTCTGAACAACAATTGCCTGAAAGCCATTAGATGAGCACACGGATATTATGCCATTGTCCGTTAGAAATACTGGGTATTGAAGGATCGCCTTGAACTAATTACAGGGGATTAATTACCGGATATCAAGCCTTACCAGAAACCCAGGTTCATCATCTACCACTAGCGACTATGTGCTGTCGTGTTCGTGTTTCCAGCTACCGCTACCGCAGGCACTCAATTATAACCGTCTAAGTCCCACCAACCAGCAACTAATCCACACCATCCCATCACAACAAGGCAAGCCCAAATAGGACCGCTGTCAAGCACACCAGGTACGTCTTGGCCCGGCACCCACCGGTTGAGGCTTGCCCCTGGCAGGAGGCGACATGTGCTGCAGAAGCCATGAGCGGGAAGAGGAGGAAACAAAAAAAAATCTCGGTTGCTGCAGAGTTGTAGTGAGGTCATGACTTGGTTGTTGACATGATCTCGAGTCATATCACGGTATGGCTCGGTGTTACTATCAGAGGGAGAGTTTATTGATTGATATAGAAGTATAGGTGATAAACAATAGACAACTTATGAGTATTGTTGTTTGACGTCCAAGCTTCTTACCAAGTTGGTAGTCGCCCATCATGACCATGATCCAAGGATCAAAAGCCAACCCATCCATGACCTTAACTCAAAGTCTACAAGTACCTCAAAAATCATATGCAGCCAATCCAATTACACGAGAGGCCAACAGTGCAGCGTCTATCCAGTGGAAAAAGGCAAAGGGCGGTGAAAAACTTGATACCTCTGAATCTAACTAACTCGCCCAACAAGTAAAGGTCACTCGTTTCACCCCGCCGCGGCCACTTAACTTCTTGTACCTAGACTCTCACTGAAATCACACCCCGTCTAGATTTCGAGATCCAATCTCAGTCCATCTCAACCTAACAAGCACCAAGACCACCTACAGAGGCTCTCTACTGCTTGTCCCTGAACCCGCAATCTCGCGCTCTTCTTCCGGGTCCCCCCTTCCCTTCCCTTGTCGTCGTCTTATTATAAGATATCTCCACATCCTCTTCCTCTCTCTCGACTTCTCTTCCATCTCTTCTTCTCTTTGTCTTCCTCTTCTTCTTCCCCCACCAACCGTCTCTTTCTCTCCCCAAATCTTTCATCATGTCTCGTCCTCAGAACATTGGCATCAAGGCCATTGAGCTTTATGTCCCCAGCCAGGTAAGCTGAGATACTCACTCTGCGGTTGTTTTGCTATCATCACACAATCTTCAATGCCCTCATGCTCTCCTGTGTCTGCTGGGAATTGTTGTCGTTGAATGTTGCCCCTCACCAAACTTTTTGGATGGGATAAAAAAAAGTCCCTGCGTTATTACTCTCGTGTTCGGGTTCTGGTCGTGTGCCCCTCCATTTCAGATTGTGCCCCTCTATCCTAACGCTTGAACGCCTCTTTGAAGAAGGCCCCAGCTAACCACAATTTTATTTGCTCTTTAGTATGTTGATCAGGTTGAGCTCGAGAAGTTCGATGGCGTTAGCGCCGGAAAGTACACCATTGGTCTTGGCCAAACCAAGATGAGCTTCTGCGACGACCGTGAGGGTAAGTTTCTCCAATTCTTCACCGTCCCCTGAAAAGACGATCTTAGCGCAATGCGCCTATCCTCACCGCGTCCTTGGAAAATCTCATGATGGCATTGGATCACCGCTAATATGCGATTTCTGCAGACATCTACTCTTTCGCCCTTACTGCTACCTCCAAGCTCCTCAAGAACTACAACATCGACCCCAACTCGATTGGTTACCTCGAGGTCGGTACCGAGACTCTTCTCGACAAGTCCAAGTCCGTCAAGAGTGTTCTTATGCAGCTCTTTGGCGACAACACCAACATCGAGGGTGTCGACACTATCAACGCCTGCTACGGTGGTACCAATGCTGTTTTCAACGCCATCAACTGGGTTGAGTCTTCCGCTTGGGACGGTCGCGATGCTATCGTTGTTGCCGGTGATATTGCTCTCTACGCCAAGGGCAATGCTCGCCCCACTGGCGGTGCTGGTGCCGTCGCTCTCCTGATCGGCCCCAACGCCCCCATCGTTGCCGAGCCTGGTCTGCGTGGTACCTACATGCAGCACGCCTACGATTTCTACAAGCCCGACCTTACCAGCGAGTACCCCTACGTTGATGGTCACTACTCCGTCAACTGCTACACTAAGGCCCTCGATGCCGCCTACCGCGCTTACTGCAAGCGTGAGGCCAAGCAGGCCACTAACGGTACCAACGGTGCTTCCAACGGTGACGACTCTACCAAGACCAGCCTTGACCGCTTCGACTACCTTGCTTTCCACTCCCCTACTTGCAAGCTTGTCCAGAAGTCTTACGCTCGTCTCCTCTACCACGACTATCTCGCCAACGCCGACTCTCCTGCTTTCGCTGAGGTTGCTCCTGAGCTCCGTGACATGGACTACGAGAAGTCCTTGACCGACAAGGTTGTTGAGAAGACCTTCATGGCCCTCACCAAGAAGCGTTTCCAGGAGCGTGTCAACCCCTCCATCCAGGTCGCCACCAACTGTGGTAACATGTACTGTGGTAGTGTCTGGGGTGGTCTCGCCAGTTTGATCAGCGTTGTCGACAACAAGGCTCTTGAGGGCAAGCGAATTGGTCTCTTCAGCTACGGATCTGGTCTTGCTGCTAGTTTCCTGTCTTTCCGCATCAACGGCAGCGTTGAGAAGATCTCTAGCGTCCTTAGCATCCCTGCCCGTCTTGAGGCCCGCCGCGCTGTCCCCCCTGAGACCTACGATGAGGTAAATACAAAATTCTTCAATTTCATACATAGAAACCGTCTGCTAACTGTTTTGCTTAGATGTGCAATCTCCGAAAGCAGGCCCATCTCCAGAAGGACTACACTCCCAAGGGTGACGCCTCTACCATCGCCCCTGGTACTTACTACCTTACCAAGGTCGACGACATGTTCAAGCGCGAGTACGCTATCAAGGAGTAAAGGATTGTCTTTTGAAAATCCAAAGTATCCTTGCTCGAACAACCTTTTATACGAGACATTTATCGCTTCTAGACTTGGTTCCATTACAGCTATGGCCCAGGCGAAAGCATATCATGAACATGATGACATCAATGGGGAAAACTAGACGCAGGGAAGAAGAATATAGCGGATGATGATAGAAGCGCAATTCGCGCAGTGGAGATTGACATCGAGGTCCTCTAATTGAGCTAATAATGATGGCCATTATGGCTTGTGGAAGTAATGGGGACCGTCTCTCCTGGGATATTTACGAGGAAGTTTTCAAGGCCCATACCATATAGACCTGGTCAGTTGGCGCTTAGAAGAGTTTACGATACTTGGAATATAATAAAAATGTATTTCAATCGATTAAGTGTTTTCTAACTTGTGTCTATTCTTCTATCAGCCACTATGTGGTTGTCGGCATATATGACATCTAAGAACATGGCCTTCAAGAGCCGCGTCCGATATTCTTACTACTATCTTCATATTCGTACATAAGTAGGGGTATCCGTCTATTTTTCGTCCTTGAACTTCCACTCCGCGTGTCGGTGGAGCATGTAGTCCTTGCTCTGAATGCCCTTCCAGATACCATATAAGCCGCCCAGAGGCGGCTTGCTCTTGAGAGAACGCTTCCACTTCTGTCGTTCTTCCTTTCGTGCTTCAACGTCAACCTTGACCTTGTCGTGAACAGTAGGAAGTGTCTCAGCGTGATATTTCTTTCGCAGAGCTTCATACCACTGTCGGTCGTAGAGCTTCCAGAACTCCTCTTCATTGTAATAAGTGTGAGCATAGAGCCACTTAAGACCTCCAAGCTCGACAAGCTTATCTTCGAGAGCGCGGTTCTTGGCAACAAACTCATCTGGGTCAGAAGGTCCCCAGCCCCAGAGACCAATATTCAGGGATGGTGGGGTGGTGACAGTTCCGTCATCAGCAGTTGTGGTCTCGCCGGTGTGAGGGTGGAAAGTTGGAGGGGGTGTCTGCTTCAACGGACAGAGCCACAGAGGCCAGATGTTGAAGTTCTCAGCAGTATAGTCGACAAAGGTTTCAGCAGTCTTGTAGGGCAAACCCAGATCCTGGACGATGAAGCGAGCAGACTCGCCGCTACCATGAAGAGCGCGGTACAGCATGCGAGTATGGAGGAAATCATCGAGGAACCAGCGGAAGAATTTTGTGAAGGGAACACCCTTGAAGTAAGTGAAAGCAGCGGCGCCAACCCAGAAACCACCGCGATCATAGCGGAAGAAGTACTCGGCGAGAGGGATGTAATCAACAGGAGAGGAAGAGGCAGACTCAGCGGAGACAGTGGGACCAGCGGAGGGAACGTTGCGAGTGCGATCTTGGACATGGAGGTAATACCAGGGATCCCAAGCACCACTGAAGGTCTGTGGCTTGGTATCGGCAGGCTTGTCGTCAGTCAGGGTACCAGTAACAACGACGCCATGATCTTTGGAGAAAAGGATGCCGTCGACATAGTCATTGGAAGGGTTCTCGGTCTCGGCTCGGATACGGGCAACGGCTTCAGCAACGCTACTCGTACGATGATAGGTCGTCTTGACAAACTTCTTAGCTTCTTGTAGTTGAAGCTCAAGAAGCGTCGTCATGCCCAAAGAACCAACAGCTCCAGCAGCACCACGGAACAAGTCAGCGTTCTCCTCCCGCGACGCTCGAACAACCTCGCCATTTCCAAGGATCATCTCAGCCCAATTGACAGTATCATTGAAGAATCCATGCTTAAACGAAGAGCTCTCGCCAGCTGTGCCTGCAAACCCTCCTCCAGCTGTGATACCAGGAAACTCCATAACGACAGGCGGTACAAGGCCATGCTTCAGCGTCGACTCAACAAGCTTGTCCATGGGAACATTGGGCTCAACGAGAGCCGTACGAGTCGCACGATCGACCTGGAGGACATTTCGAAGGGCGCTGATATCGACGACGGGTTTGCCTGTCTGCTGAGGCCGTGTGCTATTCGTGCTGCCGTGAAAGATGCGATATGGCTCACGACGCTCGAAGAAGCCGCGGACGGCTGATGCGATGGATCTCACGGCCTGCTTGTGACGCTCCATTGCTGGGGACCCGGGTTCTGAGTCTGGAGGTGGCTTGTTTTGCTCTTGAGGTGAAGCGATCAGCGACATTTGGGATAAAAGTTTGGTGGGTCTTCCCGTGCGGGCCGGTCTCGGGGATCGGAAGTGGTGGAGGCGGAGCCGGAATTGATAATGGGATTGTTTTAAAGAGAAGAAATTGATGTTTACAAAGAGGAATTATTGTTTTGGTCTATCGAGGTCAGGGTACGTAACGTGGGTGATGATCCTATAAGTCTTGGCTTATAAGTTCCGAAGGTGCCGGTCGTTTAAGTTTCAGTTGCTGGGCAGCTCATGTAAGTCAGACATTCGTATGTCAAAGCGACGACACTGACTAGGATTTCAACAACATAAATGACATTTGATCATAACAAAAACCATCTTTCTGTTATCAAGAAGAACAATTGACTGTATGTAAGTAAATTCCTAGCGCCTAGCTGTCAAACAGTGTCCCATATGTATCCAATTCCACCACATATCTCATTCCGATTCAAAGCGTCGTCAAGTGAAGCCGCCATCTACAGCTTAGCCACTGGTGCTTCCAAAATCCGATCTTCTAACACTGTCTTCTGTAACACCCTCTTTTGAATATCCTCTTCTAAAGCATCACTCAGCTCGTCAAACTTCAATGGCACCTCTTCGCATGTCTTTGCCCTGATCATGACAGCGCTCGACTCAATGCTATCGGGGTCCTCCACTGCCGCACGTATGAATGATGCCCAGCCGTTGTAGCACCGTGGCGTTGCAGGAGCGTTACGCAGCATCATAGCGAAGCAGTGCGGCATACCTTCGTACTCCTCGAACACCACCCGCACACCATCAGCCTCGAGTTTGCGAGCAAGAAACTTGTCCTCATATGCTAGAATCTCCCATCCTGTGCAAAGGTAAATAGGTGGTGCCCCTTTCCAGCTCCTTGCCATGACGAGAGATGCAAGAGGATGAGCAGCAAGGTCGTCGGCTATGTACATGTTGCGTCGTGGTGGATTAGCTGGCCAGGCCTCACAGGGAGGTATTGTGCGCTTTTCGATGGCCTCCGGCTTGGGGAGATAATCACATGGCGTTGGTGTTGACATCTCCCATGTTGGGGAGCTTTGTGTAATATCAAGCCATGGAGAGTTGAGTGCTACGCCAGCTGGCATGGGAACCTGACGCAACTCGCCGTGCCACAGAATTGGAGAGTCTTGTCTGCGGAGCTCGAGGATGAGTTGGAGTAACGAGAGTGAAAGATTGCCGCCAGCGCTATAAACTCCCACGTTAGTACTTGGTGACAAACTCAGCTTAGGCTCGAGACATACCTGTCACCAGCAATCACAATATGCTCCGGTTGTACAGGATCATGATAAGCATCCGGAGGTGGATATAGAAGCGTGAAGTAAGACACGAAAGCATCAAGCAACGCCGCAGGGAATGGATGTTGCGGCGCAAGTCGATAGCGCACCGAGTAACACCGACCCCCCGTCAACTGCGCCAGTTTTTTCGTTGTAGGACGATGTGTTGCTGGGTCACAGAGATAGTAAGCGCCGCCGTGCAAGTACAGAACTGTCGTTGGCTTCTTGCACTCTCGCATCATGTCGTGATACCTCTCCCGCTCCGACACGTCAGGCAACGGAGCGCCACGGGCTACACCGCTCCGGTAGCCGGTCCACTCGGCCTCAACATCAATGAGATCGGGAACGGGGACTCGGCAGGTGGAACCTCCGAGGTGTTCGAGTGTGCTGATGAGGGCATCACGAATTGATGTCTCTGGAGGTTGTGGACTGGCATATTTGCTAACCCAGATGTGCCCCTTGATACCAGAGTCACGGAGTGTAATTCGTTGAACAGATGATATACTACGGGGAGTTTTTGGTGTGAGAATAACGCGAAGGCAGGCGATGATGATGGCGCTTCGTAGGTCGAGATATTTGGATGAGTCGGAAAGGTTGAGGATGTGTGCGAGGCCCTGGCAGACGATGAGAGGGAGTAAGGGAACGACTGTCCGTACGGTCTCAAGAGTTGCTGAGTCCATGATGGTGTGGATGTCAAGATTATATAGAGTGAAGAATTGCCGTTTAAATTATAGTTGTTGATGTGATGGTGATGTAAGTGATTCAAAGTCAAAGACGAAGTGATCAAGACAACGAAAAGACATGGGGCAGGTCAAGGAAGGCATCGACCTGATATACAGAACAACAGAGATTTGCCTGATTGAGACCCAAGTCATAAAGGTATGGGTAATGGGTTAGAGGGAGGGGTAGTAGAAGAGAAGACCAGCTGAGGCAGTTGAAGAGTTGTCGTACAGCGGCCTCTAACTAAACAAAGAGTTAGGAACCCCTAGGATCCAATTTCAATGATCTCCCTCGAACAGAGCCCAATCAGGGGCTGTCTTTTCTGTTTGGAATCGCGTCAAAGTCCTTGTCCGGAATGGCGGTCTTAAAGATCCATGACACTTCTTGCTTTGTCACTTGCAAGTGTAAGTAGGCTTTTAGGTGTGGTTACCTAGAGCCAACCTCAACTCTGTTGGCAGCTGGAAAGTCAATATTTAGATTGCGACAAGTTGCATCAATAAAAGAAATGACATTTCACAGTCAAAATTACCAAGAAATCTGAGTGTGATCAGTTGAGGCGATGAGCCTCGGCACACGGAATTAGTTCACAACCTTCAAGTGACGTCTACATGGAGTTGCAACTAGCGCTTCAGTCATGAATCAGATCCCTCGGCAGCAGAATCAGAGTTATGTTGCGGGGATTGGCTAGTAAATTTGACAAGACGAACTCTTTTTGCCTTTATTTACTGGACTGGACTAATGGAAGATTTCAACGGTCAATGCGTTGGTTGAGCGTGGGTTATGAGACTTGTAGACTCAACCCCAAAATGGTAATTCTTGCGGGAGCGTCAAGGTTGAGTGCATGCGCGATAGCAAGGGGATGCATGTAAGCGCACGCGAGGTGGGAAGAAGCAAACAACTAGCCGCGGAACTTAAAACAATATTGGTATTGGATGTGCCAGGCTTTTCTGTCCAAATCAAGCATCTTGCATATCATAAAATCTGTCTGGGTTCGGACCATGTCTTCAAGGGTTATTTTCACTTGATTTAAGAATTATTACAAGCTGAATATACCAAAGGATCATGCTAAACCCAGAATACCTATAAGAGATGAATAGTCTTATGGAGTTTGTGAAATAGGCTCAAATAAGTAATGTGGTAAAATTGACAATGGTGATATAACGCTACAATACCAAACCATCCCACCACGTAAACACCTCCATTCAACAGACCCGATTATTCCAAAACTATGGATGCATAAATATTGTACAACTATGGTCAAGTAGACTCTTCACTGTTTTAAGAGCTGGAGCTAGCGCCAGCCTTTGACTCGTCGGCCTTGACCTGAGTCGACGATGTATCATTCTGGTTGGCCATGGCCATCTGCCAAGCAGGAATAGACTTCTTGCCGGTCATGTTGGCAAGAGGGGAGGATGAACGGTTAAGTTGAGGAGCAGAGGGGAATGTAGGCTTGGGGACCTCTGCAGCAGGAGTGGTAGCGGCCGATTCAACTGTGGCCTTCTCTCCGTTGGTCTTCGCAGCAGGGGTCGAGGTAGAGGCAGCAGGAGTAGCTGCGCTAGAGATTCCACTGGCACCGACAGTTCCGGCTGTGCCTCGCATGTAGTTGTTCATGGTTGAAGAACCGGTGGTGCTGCTGGGGGTGGTCATGCGCTGAGATACCAATGTCTTAAGACTGGTGAGCTCAGTGTTAATCTCCTTCAGCCGGTTATCAGTCAGACCCTTTTGGTTCTCGAGAGCCTTAGGGATCGCGTCCTTGAGGGACTGAACCTCGTCACGAATTCGGGTCGCATCGTCCTCCCGACGACGATTCGCAGCCTTGAGATCGGTCATGACTGTCTCGAGGTCCGCGATCGCTGCGTCTAGCTTTTCGGTTCGCTCCTTTTCGGCATTCTTCAGGCTCTCCGTATCCTTCGCAAGTTGCTCAACAAGCGTGAAAGCTCGGTCAAATTGGTCCTCAATCGATTTCTTATCTTGTTCCAATTTCTCCGGTGTTGGAGGCGCGACCATTGGATATACGTAGCGCTGGTCGCATGTTAGCTTACATTATCAAAATCGCGACAATGGCAAGCACGAACCTTGCCCAACTCGTAGAGGCCATAAGACACGCCTCCAACTACTGTGGCCATGATGAACCAGTCTCTCCAGTCCCTACGGGGAGGAGGTGGCGGCGGTTGCCAGGCATGCTGTGGATAGGGGGGATAGTATTGTTGGCTAGGAGGAGGGCCGGCGGGAGCGCTGGGATAAGGCGCGTTGGGAGCTGGAGGTGCGCTACCACCTGTTCGTGCCAGCGCAACGTCGATTTCTTCTTGGGTGAGGTTCTTGCTTCGAAGGAACGAGATGCGGTTCTCAACGGAGGATGACGCGACACTTGGGTCCTGGAGAACTGCGATGGGTTAGTCGGCGCATTTGTAATGGCTGTATCAGAGTGAATACTGACATTGGGTCTATTCAGGAGTTAGCATTTGCTGATTCTGTTCCAATAGCTTCGGTGGCTGGGGTAGTAGGTCAACTTACTGCAGAGGATACAAGATCCTCGCGAATAGCCATGGTTGATGTTTAGCCGTCAGACGGCTCTCACCACATAACCTAAGTCGCAATGGGAAGAAGTTGAAGAAGAAACTCCTGAAAAGACTTGGGCGATGATGATGGAAATGTTAAATGCATGTGCTAGTTCAGCTTGCGGAGGCCGGACCGTGGAGTTCAAGAACGTGGAGGCGTGGAGTCGGAAGCGTGACCGATCTGTACCGAGGCTTCTCCCAATTGACCTGCCGAGATACGTACCCCAAACGGTTCCCGTCTTTCTTTCCGTCAGTTCGAGGCTGCAGGCGCGATCACGTGTAATCTTAATTGAATATCCACTTTTGCCAACTCAACTGCTACTCCACCAGAGACAACACAGAAGTCCTTGGCCAATCAGATTAAACTCATGGTTTGTTTACTTTCCTCCCAACGCCTAATCTCCCCTACCCTACTCTCTACCTTACCTTTACGCCATTTTGCATTTTCACATCCCACTTTACATCAACACCATCATCACGACGACCCCTCCGCGTATACAACAACTCACGATAGTCGCCTGCTTTGCACATGCACCTCATTGCAGTCGCGTGTTTCCCCTTTCACTAGATCATGTCCCAAGATACGGGCCTTTGGAGCGTCCGTAGACCTAGAGAGGTGCGACTCCCAATCATCTTCTACCAGCCTTTGCGCCCAACTGGTAGACCGCTATTTCCGCGCATCGACTTGAACAATACTGATTCTAACCTGCAACATAGACCCTTGGTGGTATTAATGCAAACAGCGCCATTCCGCAGCCTGGCTCGACTATGAAGCGATCCAGCTCCAATATTGGCGGCAATCACCCTGGCAGTCATGTCCGTTCCATGTCGGGATCTAGGCATTCCCTTGCCATGCCGCGACCTAACCAGCCTTTGTTTCAACGTTCATCATCAGGAACCAATCTTGCAGACATTGGCCTTTCGTCGGTGAAGCGCTCTTCGTTTGCCCCCAAGGCATCGGCGTTCACCCCAAATCCCACAACAACACGAGCTTCGACTGATGGCGATCGACGCAGCAGCGTGTACCGACCCCGTCAATCTACCGCTCCTCCGACGACGCACCAGAGTTTCTTCCAAACTACACCAGCCCCAGCTGGTGTACCCCGCGACCCGCGACCCCTGAAGGATCGATCTTTTCAAGCTCGCATCGGACAGGAAATTCTGGAATACATGGTTCAACACAACTTCGAGATGGAGATGAAGCATGTTCTTTCGCAAAATGTCCTCAAATCGCCGACGCAAAAGGACTTTAACTACATGTTCCAATGGCTCTATCATCGCATAGACCCCAGCCATAAGTTCCAGAAGAATATCGACCAGGAAGTGCCTCCTCTACTCAAGCAGATGCGATACCCTTTCGAAAGAAGTATCACAAAGAGTCAGATAGCTGCTGTTGGAGGACAGAACTGGAGTACATTCCTTGGTCTTCTTCACTGGATGATGCAACTCGCACAGATGCTCGACGGCTATGTAAACTGCCAATACGATGAAGCTTGTATGGAGAGCGGTATTGACGTTAGTGGCGACCGCATCATTTTTGACTTCCTTAGCAACGGTTATCGGGATTGGCTGGCTATGGATGAGGATATGGGTGATGAAGAGGCTGAACGCGTTTTGGCACCTCATGTTCAGTCCATGGCAGCCGCCTTCGAGCGGTCCAACTCAAAATACACATCAGAACTGGAGATGCTAGAAGCCGAAAACGCACGACTTCTCAAGGAAATTGAGGATTTGGAGAAGTCAACACCTGATCCTGCCGTTCTCGATAACCACTTCAAGATTATGGAGGAGGATAAGATCAAGTTTGAGGAGTACAATGCCCTGGCGATGCAAAGGTCTGAGAAGTACGAGAGCCGGTCTCAAGTCCTTCAAGAAGAGCTCGACAAGCTCATGGAAGAGCTTCAAGAGGCCGACGAGGAGCGACGAAGCCTACAAAAAGCTGTGGATGCTCAAGGAATCAGCATGCAGGATATTGACCGCATGACTGCAGAGCGGGAGCGCTTGCAGCGGGGCATTGAGTCAGCCGGCCAACGACTAGAGGAAGTGAAGAAGAAGGTAACAGAGCGAGAGACTGAGGCAAGCCGAAAACTAGATGAATTGGAGCAAATGGTGGATCGATACAACACAATGGCGTATCAGATTGCACTGATCCCCTCGACAGCAGCCAATGCTAAGGGCAGGGAGTTTGAGCTCCAGGTCATGGTAGCCGACAGCTCAGATTTTACTTCTACCAACCTGAAGGGTTCATCGGGCCCATCATCCGCGGACCGCCTCCTGGTCGATGCCACCACTGGATACCAAGCAGGTCATATTCTCAACTTGGACCTTCGGGGACAAATCCGAAACAGCTTCCTATCGCTGCGCAAGGAAATCTCAGATCGCCGAGCAGCGGCAATGGAAGAAATGATGAAGGATCACGACCTGCTTGATGGCATAAAGGAGGCCATCGAGGACAGACGCAGTGAAGTGGAGGCACTCAACCACCGTGTTCGAGCAGCAGAAGAGGAGTATGAAAGAACGAAGGAGGTGTCAACAGCACAGAAGATGGCCTCCGATGCTCACATTGAGAAGATGGAGAAGGAATTGTCGCGTATGAGAGCTGGCTTGTCTGAGAATGTGCAAATTCTGGAGCAACGTGAGATCAACACAACAATTGAGTAAGTGGACACGGGTTTTTAATCGAGGTAGTAGTTACTGACCAGACGAACAGATACGAGCAACTTGTGCTTCAGGCCAACGCTCTCCGAGAAGAGCTCCACACCGAGATTGACAGAATGCTCAACGATGTCATCAAGTTCAAGATTCATGTCCAAAAGAACCTCGATGATTACGAGGGCTTTGTAGCAGACGAGCTCGAGAAAGAACTCGGTAGTGACGAGATGGGCGAGGAGACTCGACAGATGGATATTTGATGAGAGCTACACATGAAGCAATCTTCTGAGACGCTTATGATGACGATTGATGTTTCGGGCGGCCTTCTGATTTGTTTTATGGCGTTTGGCTTCACGATAGGTCGACTGATGGATGAGTGAGAGCGGTTGGACACAATCTTGTCTGGCTGGTCCCTGTCTAGAGTGTACATGCTCCCTTTCCGGTGGATATGCTTTTGCTGAGAGCGAGTTTGAGCATCACGACATGTTAGTAATGGTAGATACCTGGTGGTTTGCTTTGGTGTTTTTAGGAAAGATACCACAAGGCTATCTGATATAGTTGGCCTTGATTACGAAAATTCTAGTTACGAAAAAGCATAACGACGTTATTTCTCGACTGCTAATGTTGTAATATAAGCTGACGACAACGTGCGTAGCATGGCAAGCATGGGCACCACATGGCTATGGCAGGGATGGTCAGCACCTTGTCAGGGGGGTTCCCGAAGTTGTCAGCAGGGGTAGCTCAATGACAGCAATGATTCGTGAATAGATTCATTGACTCTTTTTCCCTGTAGGCTCGTATCATATCTTATGAGCTGTGATATTGGAGTGAATAAACTAGTCAAGGGGCAAGAAGCTATCTAGAATATGTAAGACCAGGATACAACAAAAGTCTTCTGTTGCATTCGGATTCGTTTATTCCCCGGATGCCCTCGGAAGATCCTTTTAATTGCCCCGGTCGGGGAGTCGGGGGGTTGTAATTTGCGAGCGGAAAAGTGATGCAAACTCCGCTAAGGCCCTGTAGGGCATTTATTGAGTTGGGATGGAGTTATGAAGAGCAGGGGACAAGGTCCAAAGTGTAAAAGTGAGGCATTATGATGAAGCTGAAGGACTCATGATTGATCTGTTTTAGAATACAGATTGGATGAAAATAGTATATCACAGTATGGGTTGTTAGAGTATCGCTTAGACTACATTATGAATTGTTTAGACTACAGACTGCACAACTCTTATTCGTGTCTCAGCTGCATCACTGCCCAACAAGTTCAACATTCAGTGTTAACTCCGCCGAGTTATCCCCGTTGTCATTGCACCCATCTAATGCAAGATAAGACATTCTGGGACCCCCCTAGTGCTAATCTCGGCAAGTTGGTTCTCGGTAGCTTCCATGATGCTTCCATTGTTGGTCCCGAGGAAGGTACTTGCCTAGACTCCAAAGGTCATAGCTCCTTCACCCATTCTCTTGCTGTCTCTCTCTTGTTTGTGTCTCTGTCTCTCCATATTTTACCTGACGTCTACATCTCCACCTCCACTTCTTCCTCATCTTCTCTCTTCTCTCCCTCTCTTTCATCTCTCTTCCCTTTATCGATGGATGCTAAATAATATTCCCTGGTTGCCCTGGTCCAATCACCCCTACCTGGTGCAACTGTAACTGCTAAAGTCCGAAGCCTCCGGTTTGGGACATTACTACCACATGCCGCGTGCTTCTTTAACGATCCGTCAACTGAGTTATCATTTTGGATCAACGAAAAACACTAAACCCTTGGTTTTTGCTTCCGCATACTCAACCCTTTCCTCAGCATCTTCTACCATCATGGCTCCAGCCGCAACTGCTGCTTCAGCTCAACTGAAGCCTCCAGAGCTGGCTACAAGGAATGCACCTGGCTCATCTGGAGGCTCGATCGCATCTAGCACTGCCGTATCGAAAATACCTGGTCGATCAGCTCTTCCAGATGAAGCTGTTTCCAACCCTCACCATCTCCTCAAGCGTGGCTCTCTAGTGGGCTTTAAGAATCCTTATCCTTCACACGCATACAGTCCCAACTTCAGTACCATGGTGCGGAGAGTCTGGTGGTATGTGAGGATTTGTTACGTCAAGAGCGCTTCGTCGTCCAGAAACTGATGATATGATCCTAGGCCCACTTTCACCGGCGACATGAAGAGCCCCGATTTGACTCCCCCAACTGTGCCTGTGGTCAAGCCGCAATGGAACACCGAGCGTGAAACAAGCGATAGGATCCGTGCAACATGGCTAGGCCATGCTTGCTACTATGTCGAATTCCCTTCTGGCCTGCGCGTTCTCTTCGACCCTGTCTTCGAGGACCGCTGCTCCCCATTC